TAAAAAGCAGTTTTAGAAATAAATTGGGTATGTCAAATGTTTTTCATAAAATTATATTTCAGAAGTTTGGTCCCCCAAACAATCAAACAGATATAAAATATTTTAGTTCATTTTAGATAGTGTTCATTAGCTGTATCAAATATCCCATAAAGACTAAATATGACCTTTACAAATTGAAAAGACAGTTTTCTGGCAAAAACCAAATGTTTTAAAAAAATAGCCTTATCTCTTTCTGTATTTTATTACAATGCATGCTATTCATTTAAATAGTAAAACATTAAAAACCTATTATAACTAGTGCTGAGATATTGCTGATTTTTCCAAAATGTAAAGTATTTTTCTTTACAAGCTGTACAGAAGCTGTACAGGTTTAAAATAAAAAATAGCATTAGATTGTTAGCATTTTGTCAAAAACTACTCTTTAACTTGTGCACATATTTTAAAATATGGAACTTTCCAAGCTGCCCTATATTCCTTGCAGGATCACAAAATAGTGACCATTGTAATTGACTGGTCCTGATTCTAATTTTGAGGATGCTGGAAAGAAATATGATGTAGTAGGGTTTTGTCTTTTAAAACAGTAGATGTTAATAGTTTATTAGTAGTTTTAGCTTATAGACAATAATCCTGAAGGAAATATTGCAATAGACAGTTTAGTCTGTACAGTCATCAAAGGCCCATGATGAATTATGGGTAAATGTAACAAATTGCAAACTAGTGTTGTTTATCATAGAGATGTTGCCAGCCTATATTTAATTAATATATTTTAGTACTGCATTAATTTAAAATTAATCAGGTATGTTTTAGTACTTTGTTAAAAAAAGTCTTTTGAAAAAAAAATGTGCACACTTTTTGAACCTGTTGTGAAACAACTGCTACAACTTTCATATATCCTTTGTAGTTATTAAGATGTTTGGTCATTACTGAGCAAAGCAAGACAGATTTAAATGTTTCAGGGCACAAGGCACAGGCTGTTCTGGAAAGATGATTTTCTTAGTGTATTCTGAAATGAGCTCAGTTTTCAGGCAGTGCCTTTTGAAATGATGTAGATTCTTCTGTATTTTTGTTGGAGCTTAATCAAAATATATTCTGCCTTGATTCATAAACCTTTTGTACCTCATCAGTGCTGTGTTAGGGCACACCAGAAGCACTCATAGCGCATCCCTGTCAGATTCTAACAAATCTGTGTATTCTGTTAAATACCTTGTCACAAGGACATGAAAAAGGATAACTCTTTTTAAACCAAGCTTCAAAAGGCTTTGTTTTAAATAAGATTTTTCAGGCCTGTATTTTTAAGCTGGTAATTTGTGGGCTGAGCTTACTTTTTTTTATAAGGTCTTATAATGAGCAACATTCTTTCTCCCCACCCCCGTGTTTCATTTTTTGCAATATCTTTTGCAACTAGCAGATTCGTTATTTTCCCTTGGACTAAGAATAACATCCAACTTTATTGGGTGTACAAAAATAAATGAATAACAACTTAATTTCTACTAGAGGTGCACTGATATATCAGTCACATATCAGATTGGCGCCAATTAAAAACAATTAACGTTATAGGCAATTGGCTTTTATGGCCAATAATGTCACCAATAAATGCCACATGTATGCACGCAGCCGCAACATGCACATGGCCAGGAATGCAGCACAGTAGCTTGGAGTGCAGCATCCTGCCAGTAAGTCTTGGAGGTGGGAGGGAGGGAATGGGCATGGGGGGTGCAGATCCCCCATGGTGAGGGAGGAAGGGGGGCAGGGGCAGGCACTGCCTATCCCCTGCCCACCCCACAGCACAGCGCTGCCGAGGAAAAGGCAGCAGAGCGAGTGCCCCAAGCAGGGGTGGTGCTAGACGGCATGTGGGGGACCATAGCCACCCCAAAATTCCCTGTAGCCACCCCTTCCAGCCCCACACAGCTGAGCTTACTCTGCCCCCAGTGGAGCTCCAGCCCAGCCCCTCCCACAACCCCTCTGGCTGGGAAGAGGCTGACACAGCCCCTGGCCCCAAGCCCACAGTGGGCAGCCCATCCTTGCCCCGCACACTAATCCAGGGGAACATATGCCTCCCCCAGGGTTGTGTATAGTGGCAGGGGGGGGGCCCGCCGCCCCCTTCCCCGCATCTTCTGGACAAGCCACCTGCAGCTCCACCCTGCACCTCGCCCTGGGGCTGCATTCACTGCCCTGGCTGGGCAGCGCCTTCCCCTGTCCCTGCCCCACTCCTTCCCTCACTGTGGGGGTCTTGATCTGCCCCTTCCCTCTCCGATGGCCCTTTCCCCCAGAATTACTGGCAGGAGGTTGCTTTCCAAGCTGCCCAGCTGCATTCCTGTAAATCGGCTATCGGATTGGTATTGACCAATATTACTGGTTAATAATTGGCTATTGTTATCAGCCAAAAAAATCTTTATCAGTTCACCCCTAATTTCTAGAGCTATTAGAACGAATGTGAATTCTAAAAGGTCCCTGTGTGAAGAGAGCTCATCCTGCCACCACCTTGATATTACATAGTTTGCTCATAAGGAGATGATTTATACATTCACCCATGGTAGTCACTGGTGACCTTCAGCAATGGTTGATATAATTATTAATTTGCAGCCATTATTTGTTTGTTTTTTTTTAAAGTTATAGCTTGTCAGAATATACAGTAAAAGCTTTATCTGGCATGAGTAGAGTAAGAGGGGTGCTGGTTATCTGAGAGTTATACAGAAGACACAGTGCCTTACTTGTAGTGCAAATACTTGATGTGCATGCTGGATAGACTTAGCAAAAATTCCAGTTGCTAAAGTGAGGATTTGTACTGGGGGATATTGGAAATTCCGGTTAACAGAGTATTCCAGTTAGTAAAATGCCGATTAACACAGCTTTCATTGTAACATCTTAAATCCTCACTTCAGTAGTTTGCATATTGGAATATATTCTTTAATCACTGGTCTACTCTGGCCTATTCTTAAAAGCTTTGGGAACCATCCTTACAATTACCAGGCATAATATTAAAAAATGCACTTTAACTTGTCACAGATAAAGGTATGAGGGCACTGTCAATGTCTTGCCATTGCAAGGACAAGAAGTAGTTTATTAAAATACATTCAAGACACTCAGTGAAGAGCACTCTATCCCCTCCCCCAGAGAAAGGCAAAAACCTCCTTCATGCCAGTCTGACCATGGAATAAAATTCCTGCCTTATCCTAAATGTGGTATTTGGTCTGGCCCTGAGTAGAAAATCAAGATAACCAAACCAGGAACTCTCTGGGTTTAAGCCCGAGCAGGAGCTTCAACACACCCCCACCAAAAATCGGAGCCATCCCTAGCTTTGGCAAAGACCTAATACTTCTGAGAAAGGTGTGGAAAATAGAACCTGATACTCATAGCAACAGGAGCTGGGGAGAGCTCTTTCCTGGCCCTGTGGCAACCAGCCAAGCCCAGAAACTAGCTTGGGATAACCAGACACCCTTCCTTCTACACTTGTTGCATTTTGGTTCATTTATCCTTTTTGTGCTATGGAAAGATAAATAGAACAGCATGTCTACTTTACTTTATTTCAATTGTTTATAAGTGTGTAGGTGTGTGATTATAAATGTCTATCGTATTTCCTCTAGATTAGTGAGAGAGGGGAAAAAAAACAAACTCTTCTCAGTTTTTGTTAATATGGGACCCTTTCATTGTGTCTGTTTTCCTGCTGTTCTTTTATCAGTCTGCTGCCTCCTATGCATAGACAGCAGACTGTTGTACTTTCTTGTTTGGTGAAAGAAGCCACACCAGTATCAATGCAACCCAGTACCACAGCTGGCTGGTTAATTAGCAGGGACAGTACAACTATAATTGAATTCCTCTTTTGAAAGAGGCAGGAAAGTGGAGTGGGATCAGTCACTACTCCTAGTACAACAATAGCAGCTGCAGAACAGGCATTACAAATTTGACAAAACCCTATGCTTGTTCTGAAAAACTTAATTGACCTGTCATAAACTTCCTAATGAAAGAAAAACATTTTAAAAAATTGAATTAGATCTGATTTATAAATAATAGTAATGATAACCAATTTGAGAGAGATTTGTTATAGAAGACTAGCTTCCAGTTTTTTTTTTTAAAGTTTGGAGACCTCTTTGCTGGCCTGTGGATGGTCAGTGTTTTCTGATTTTAAAAAATAACTAAAGTCATTACAAAGTTGCAGAAAATCTAATTTCTCATTTCTGCTGATTCCTGAACTCTTTTTTTATTCCTGCTGTTTATATAAAAAATCATGTGAACTCAGAAATTGACCATCTAGAATAGTATAACTTTGTCTAATGTCTCAGAGGCTTTTGGTCTCAGAAATTCACTGAGGCTGTGTAAGAGATTTCTTGTGATCACAGTGGTTGGACATAAAGGAAACCTAAGCAATATGTGAACTTTGAAAATACAGAGACTGTGTAAAGGTGTTACACTTGTGCTGGCAAAAAAGCCTTTCATGTGCCACAGAAGGAAAGCATACAGCTGTTCATATGGTTTCTTGCAGGCCCCTAGTATCCTAGTGCCCTGTGCTCTCTCTGTCTCTCCAAAGAAGGGGGAGAGAGGGAGAGCACTACCTCCCTTATAGCCTGCCAGGGATGAGCAATCAGGGAGCCCTTTAGGCCTGTGCCAATCCTCCACAGCCCCTGAACAGACCTGAGTCTGTCTTCATGGGGGGCCTTTATCCCCAGCATAATGCATGAAATAACAAATTTTCAACATCCCATTTAATTCAGTAGTAGGTCTTTGTCAGAATGAATATTCTAAAATACTGCATATTTTATTGAATAGTTATTACATTTGACTCAGCAGTAGACTTTAAATGCGCCATATATTATATGTATAATCATGCTTAACACAGAATATTTTCTGGAAGTGGAGGCTGGATGCAGTGACCTAGAAAATCTTCCAGTCCTGTGTTTTTATGAAAGAACTTTAACTGAAGACAAGGGTGGATATATTTTTCTAGTGTGCATTTTTCTAGAAATCTTAATTGTTTTTCTTTTGTTTGTGTTTTTCTTTTGAAGAAATTAACCCTGTTGCATGTGAACAGTAACCAGTGCCTAGACAAAGCCACTGAAGAAGACAGCCAGGTACCCAGCATTAGAGACTGCAATGGCAGCCGCTCACAGCAGTGGCTTCTTCGCAACGTTACGCTTCCGGAAATATTCTGAGAGGTTTTAAAAAGAAGAATAAGATTGACTGGGCTACCTCGGCAAATATTCTGGCTACGTCCTCAAGTAGCGGAAAAAGGGGGAGATTTCTGTTCTGCAGGATGCAAGGTTCATCAACTGTTAGAACTTCAGCTTCTGTAGCTTTTCAGTTGCTGTGAACCAGCCTTTCCTGTGTAAGAACACAAAACAACCATGCATACTAGTGAAACTGCTCCCGCTGATGTTTACAATATTTGAAAAAGTTTCTTCCATCAGCGAATCATTCTAGAGAATGTTTAGACAATGGAAACATAATCAGTGCTCTCTGGAGATTTGCATATCGTTGTAGTTTGCTTGCACATCAGTAACCTTTGCTGAAAGTGCTGTTGTAATGAAGAGATTTCCAAGCATTTTTTCTCCTGGTTAGTACTGGTAACCAGCCTATCAAATATAGATTAAGAAAAGAAAGTAAACGGAACAGAGAGCTGGACATCAGATTCACTATCACGAAATAAGATTTTTACAATCAGAAACATGTAAAACAGGGTTTAATGGAAACTAAATCAGAACTATGAAAAGTACAATTTCTTATAGTAAAGTATCAAATTTATATGTAGATTTTATACCTCAGTGGGGGCAAAAATAACAAAGTCAAATGACAATTCTTTCTCTTTTCAGTTATGTGACAGTCCATGGATATTTTTTCCCGGTGGGTCTGAAATTATTTTGGGTGCAGGCAAAATGAACTTAAATAAATTTGGTTCTTTGAACGTTGGTTCAGTTTTTTCACTTTTTATTTTGTTTTGTGGGCTCTTGGAATTGTAATGTATCTTTATATTACTGTCTGAAAACTGGAGGTTTAACATGCTGTCTAACTGTTTTGTCCAGACCTGCCACTTCAGTTGTACTTGGATCAGTCAGCTTGTGGACTTTCATGCCCAAACAAGATTTTTTAGTGCATTTTGAACTCCTTAAGTTAACTTTGCTGATTCTGCTTAGTGTCCAAGATTCATACTACTGTACTACAGATTTGTTTTCACAGCAATAAATCTTTTGGGTTATTTTGTTTAATTCCAATCATCAGTGAGCCTGCAAAATGATTTATTACTTGGATAAGAGGAGATGAACATAGATGAAGGTTTTCTGGTAATCTTTTTTCACTTCATACTTCAGATGTGCTTCATTGTCAAGTGCATATTTAGATTAGATTTCTGAATTGTAATGTTGATCTGCTGCTTTTTTCTAATAAAACTTGAAGAAAAATTATTAAATTGGCATGGTTTTTAAAGCTAATATAGCTAAAAGCAGTATGACTATGTGCATTACATTTGTCTTGCACTTCTGAACTGTTTATTCCATTTGAACTGAATCTCTTGGTTGTCTTTGTCTTGACAACAAGCCGTAAAATGCTCTGACAAAACATTGCATTCTCTTTTTAACAGAAATGCAAGATTTACATAAATGAGAGGGTAATTTTGTTAAATGTTGTTGTTTGGCCAGTTGCCCTGTGAAGCAAATTAAATTGAGACAAGCAAAAGATGTGCAGAATTACACTGTTACAGTCTGTCATAAGTTGATTTAATCAAACAGATCTGCTATTTCTTCATTATTTTTTGCACTAGTACCCTTATACACCTTCCAGCACAAGAAAATGAACAAAGCACCTGCATTGAAAAGCAAAGCTTGCCATCTAATTTCAGACGCAAAAAAGAGATGGGTCAAGCAAGGGCAGTATCAACAGGGTTACAGTGCTACACTTCTGGTCCACAAACTCCTCAGTATGATGTGGTTTAGGTAAAATAAATTAACTTAATTATGTTTCAGTCATGCTTTTATTGGTGTTGCTCTACACCTGGGTCCTAAGGAGGGATTTGATTTGTGAAAATAGTGACTTACTGTATTATATCAGGGAATACTTTCAGCATGCAGGAGTTACTTGGAAAAAAATCATCTGGGGAGTAATGGCAAATTGGGCATTGAGCCAGACTTCCTTGACATACTGAAAGAGGGCATATAATCATTTACACTTGCTTTTCATCCTTTGGCTCCTCTCCTACCTCCTTTCCCCTAATTTAGCATCTACTTCCTTCAAGTTCTTCATGCTAATACATCACCATCCATGTCTGCTATGCAGACTTCTTCAATTGTTCTTAATGATTTGTTTCTACAGACATTTTTTTTTCAGTCCCAGTCTAATGAGTTAATTGGACAACTTTGAAAAAAAGTTTGGCTGTAGATTAAGTGAGAAACATTTTTCAAACTAGAGAAAAAATCTGTTGGAGATTTGGGAGTAAACACGTGATGAGTAATTCTATGCCAACATCCTGTTACATTTAAATCTTTTCAGATCCTAGTCATAGTTCAGTTTTCCCATAAAATTTTATTTCCTGCTTAGCAATATGGAAGAAGCCTGCAGCAGAGTTAATCTGTGGCCTCTTGGTTTCCCCCGGCTGCTGCTGCTCCCCTCCCCCTCATCACTGGCTACTGCTATAGTCAGTCTTTGGCTCTTCCTTGTTACTCTGGTTTTCACTTTCTGTCCTCATCCTAGGAAATGGTGCAGTGTGATGCAGTGCCAGGGGAGTCCACAGCTGAGGAGGTGAGGGGGCCCTTTTATCCATGCATGAAGTGCAGTTGGGGGATGGGGGAAAGAGGGCCTTAAGTTGAACAATCCTGTTCTGTGATGAAGTGGGCACTTCCACTCTTTATACCTTCTTAATCTTCAAAAGCCCTTCATCCGCTAGCAAGTATGGAGACTGTCCTCTTCTAGTGCTTTTACCTGTGACAAGAATGATGTAAAAATATCTTCGTCTTCTTGTAGACAAATGTCACATTACACTAACTTCTACTCTGCCTCCTTTGCACTGTCCGCTTTAATTTTTACCTGTCCCCTTTCAATTTGGATGTTGCAGTTTCCTTGGTTTATAACATTTCTTTTGTTCAGAAATCAAGAATAATTTATCTCATTCCACAAAAGCCTGTCTTATTAGGCAACGGTGTGCCCCAGTTTACTATTCTACTAAACTCATCCCTCCAAGTCCACTCCATTTTCACCCTTCTCTGTGCTCTAAGCTAATGCAAAAAAAGTCTGTTGTCCCCATTCAGTATGGAAAGGAAATGTACATGGAGTAGCTAGATTAGGAAAGAAGACAGAATCACAGGAAGGAAACTTCAGGTTCATTTAATTTAGCCCCCTGTGCAGATGTACAATTTATTGTTCCCAAGTCATTTCATAAAAAGGACTATACAGCTAGTTTTTTAAAACTTCCAGTGAAAGAGATCCCACAATTTTCTTGGAAGGTGTCTTCCATTATATTCTATTCTTACAGTTAGATCAGACCTCCATAAAAGCTTTCTAAATCTGTTGTACTGCAGCTTTAAAGTAATTACCATATTTCTCTGGCTAGTAAAAAAATAAAATGAATCTCCATGACAGCCTTTCAAATACTTTAAAATTATCATATCCCCTCTTAATTTCCTTTTTGCTGAACTAAATGTTACTTCTTCCTTTAGCCTTTCCTCAAGGCTTACAATCAAGCCCCTTTGTCATCATCATCACTCACCTGTGGACCCTTTCTAATTTCTGTACGTAATTGTTAAAACACAGAGCCCAAAACTGGACATGGTACTCCAGTTGAGGCCTAACCCTAGGGCCAAGTACAGTGGTACCTCTCTTGTCTTGCATACAACACATTTGTTAATACAGCCAAGAATCGCCTTTGAAACAGGGAGAGATTACCAAAGAGGAGTATACCTCCTCTGCTCGTGTTTGTAGGGAGGCAGTTAGACGGGCCAAAGCTGCCATGGAGCTGAGGATGGCAACCCAAGTAAAAGACAACAAGAAATTGTTTTTTAGATATATTGGGAGTAAAAGGAAGGCCCAGGGAGGAATAGGACCCCTGCTAAATGGGCAGAAACAATTGGTGACGGACAGAGGGGACAAGGCTGAACTCCTCAACGAGTTCTTTGCCTCAGTGTTCCTAAGTGAGGGGCACAACAAGTCTCTCACTGGGGTTGTAGAGAGGCAGCAGCAAGGCGCCAGACTACCATGCGTAGACCCTGAGATGGTGCAGAGTCATTTGGAAGAACTGGATGCCTTTAAGTCGGCAGGCCCGGATGAGCTCCATCCGAGGGTGCTGAAGGCACTGGCCGACATCATTGCAGAGCCACTGGCGGGAATATTTGAAAGCTCGTGGCACACGGGCCAAGTCCCGGAGGACTGGAAAAGGGCCAACGTGGTCCCCATTTTCAAAAAGGGGAGGAAGGAGGACCCGGGCAACTATAGGCCAGTCAGTCTCACCTCCATCCTTGCCAAAATCTTTGAAAAAATTATCAAGACTCACATTTGTGAGAGCCCGGCAGGACAAATTATGCTGAGGGGAAACCAGCACGGGTTCGTGGCAGGCAGATCATGCCTGACCAATCTAGTCTCTTTTTATGACCAGGTTACGAAA